AAACTAGCTTTTGTATAATGGCGTATGCTACTGTTAGTAGACCAGTATAAATTTGATTCATGAGACTGTACGTAGCCTTTAAACCCATTAATCTCAATGGCTAATGCTCACCATCTGTTTCTAATCTCTCACAAATGCAATCTATCTCTTCAATTATCCTGTTAATGTATTTTTTATGCTCTTTAGGTGATTGAATGTTTTTCTCAGCTATAAATCTCTTCTAAAATAGTTTTACATAAGCACCTGTAAATTTGTATCCATCTCTGACTTCCTTGATGTTCATTCTAATGAAAAGCAATGCTTCTTTTATTTTCAAAAGCTATAATCTATGCTCAATAAACTAATGATTAACAATAGCACCATTGTATAGCATCAACAAAATAACTCCCAAGACTACTATAATGTCATAAATTATTAGCATGTATGTGATCCTGGTGAATTAGAAATCAATCAATTCAAAAAAATTAAGCAAAACAATGATCACAAAGAACAAATAAGCCCCGAAGAAGGTAGAGCAATAGACAAATATTCTATTCATATATTTTCTGCCAAAATCCATCGCACATAATCTAAGCTTAAACCACTAAAACAATTAATGCTTTTCAGTTAAATCTATTGTAGGAAAAACTTAGTATTTAATGTCCAAATTCTCTTTGAACGGATTAATTAGAGCCCCTACTGCCTTCATCATATACACTCGCCTCTAAAAATCTATGAATCCAACCACTATGAATACATAATTGAGACCTAATATGAGTCCCATACATGGTAATTCTACTGCCTGATATAAATAGCTATCCCATTTTTAAAACCCTAAGAATGTTCCATAATCATAATATCGGGCAAGAAAAGGCAAGAATAGCTTTCCAAGAACAATAATCAATACATAGTGCTTAACAACTGTGGCTTTAGCCCCAGCAAAAAGTCCTATTTCTCTTAAAACCAACCTCCCTTAACAGATTTACTAATTTTTAATGTTATAGTCCTTTTGTAAAGAATGTAATGAAAACATTTCATATTGATCATTATAGAGATCGAATGACTTAAGTTATTCATGTTTGAGCTTTAATTTTTTTTCGTAACTTTCCATCTCTTTCTTTAGTTTTTTCATGTTAAATGCATTCTTTTCATACTGGTAATACTTTGAATCTGTGAATTTTTCATAGGTATTTGGAAGTAACTCTTCTAAAAATTGTAATTTAAAAAATCCCTCTTCTATTTAATTTCTCCAAAGTACGGCATCAATTTCATTTTCTAAACCAATCGGCTAAGTATGAATCCAACTTACTACTAGTAAATCTTTGGCTATGAATTCACCATCCTAACTTGAATGCCTAAGCATTGCAAATCTAAGATTTGAACTGTAGCCATATCTCACAGCAATAATAAAACTTCTGATTAGTATTTGCAAAGTTAAATGGACAAATTATTCAACGTATATATTTTCTAATGTTATTTCCATATTACTATGTCCAAAATATTTAATACATAGCAGTACAGTCAAGATAAAATGAGATATCCACTAAAAGTTCTATGATATATAAAATCTCTCAGCAGTTGTAGCAAATTTCCAAAAGCTTAAATTATTTGCGAGATGGATTTTATCGAAGACTACAATTATAGGTACAACTCCATAGCCAATATAAAAGTAGAGAAAATGATAGATAAACATTTTGAGAAAATTATGAAAGTTGAATCGAACGATGTACTCACTTATATTTATGATCTTCCTCATAATTACATTTCCTAATTTTGTCTTTAAATTCCTTCTTCTAGGAGAATATGTCTCATTTGCTATTGATTACTATTGGTACTTATGAAGATTATCAAAGCTTGATTTCTTATTTTGAGGTATTCGAGAGGGTGATTATAAATATTATTAAGGAATCTGATTTTAATTTTTTCCATTCTTACCCTCTACTTCTTCAATCACTTCAAGCTTGCTTTTAGCTTTGTATCTTTAATCATTTAATTTTAGAACATCTATTCTTAGATCTTTTAATTTCTCGTTATTTTTCATATTTTTAAACGAATTCTCGAAGTTAGTCTAACTATCTAAACTCTCTGAGAAGACAGGTTGAGAATCATTTGATTGATAATATAAAGATCAATTGTCAATATTTTTATCTATATCCCTGCTACTAAGAAATCCAACATCAAAAGTTTCTTCAGCCTTATTTGAAGGATTTGTTGTTCTCTAACTTAGCTATGTTTTGAGATCGTATATTTTATTGCTTTAAGGTATTTAAAGAATATTCTTTTCCCTTTATTCTTTTGCTTTAATATTAGGTTGGATGTTAATATTCATTAGATTAAATTATTAATAAGAAATAGCTTTACTCTTTGCTTTAAAATAGGAATAGTGAAATAATTCTATATCTAGAAAATACTCAATTTAAATTTAGAGAATTCACGGGGTTTTGGGGTTTTGGGGTTTTGGGG